AGTCTATAGCTCTGATTACAGTGAAATGGCCAGGCAAGGTAAACTGAGACATGTTACAGAGTCGACCCCCCATATATACTTTTTCTCCTCTCTCTTCTCATTGTCTTTTTCATACTGTACTTTTTTACTTTATACTATTTTTGTGCCAAGGGACTAATACTCTAACTTGCTGCAACCTAGATTCTTAAGGCATTTTTTGTCTGCATATTTGGAAAGGCTGCAACTGAGATTCTTATATGAGACGACATCTTTTAGCAACAGTGTCTAAGAAAAGGAGAAAGAAATTGGAACAAAGAAAAAATTCTGGAACGAATTCAAATACTATAGGACCACTATTAAAATGTACAAGATAAATCAAACTTAACTGAACTCGAACAAGAAATCAATTAGGCATGATAGCGACAGACGAGATACAAAAGAAGTTGGAAGATATTCAGCATATTGTCTTAAGGAAGAAATGGAAAGAAGATCTATAACAGGGGTGAAAAAAAAAAAACAATGGGATAACATATGTTGAAAAGGAAATCCATGATCAATTTACTAGTTTTTTTTTCAAATCTGTACTAAAAATACCCACTTCAGAAGATGGAATGGAGCAATATATAAAAGAAACATGTCTTGAAAAATTCATCCCTGAGAAGAGGAAAATACTGAATGATACTATTGCTACTCAAGAACTATTTCAAGCTATTAGAAAATTAAAAAAAAAAGATATAGCACATTGTCCCAATGGATTTACTGCTTGTATTACAAGTGCTCAGAGGAAAAATTAATATCACCACTTCAACAAGTAATGAATGAAATTAATGAAGAGAAACTATTACTGCTAACATGGCAGGAAGCTCATATAACATTGATACATAAAGAAGGTAATTCCATGATGATCCCATGTTACCACCTTCTTTTCATTATTAAATGTGGATAACAAACTTTTTATTTCAATAATGGCAGTGAGACTAGGAAAATATATAGAAAAACAAATTCATACAGATCAGAGTAGATTTGTCTGAAAGATATATGAAAGATAATGAAGTATGTTTTGTGCTTTATACAATTGAATGGGTCAAGAAGGAGATGGTGGCGGCTGCATTTATCTTTTTAGATGTGGAGAAAGTTTTTGATAACACGCCTTGGCCCTTTTTAATGAAAACTCTACAATATTTAGACTGTGTCTGAAGCTTTATGAATTGGATCAAGCAATCTATACTAAACAACATGCAAAGATTTTAACAGTGTATTAACTGACAATTTTCAAATGGAGAAAGGAACATGCCAAGAATGCCCTTTATTGCCTCTTTTATTTATTCTTGTAGTGGAAATTTTAGCAAAAAAATAAGACAAGACCCCAAAATTAAATGCTTTAAAACAAGTGGAGAATACAAAATGAAATGTTATGCTGATGATATAGTCTTGACTATTCTAAACCTACATCAGTCTATACATCCACATCAGGATGTGAAATAACCTCAAACCCAGTTAAATATTTAGGAATAAATATCATGGGACATAATGACACACTATTTCAGCATAATTATCAAATAACATGGATGAAGACATTAAAAGAACTAAACTAAAAGTATCATGGTTGGGAAGAATTTCCATTATAAAAATGAATGTACTACTTAAATTGAACTTTGTATTCCAGATGATACCAATTGCTATAGTGTCCAAGACTGGCAAAGACAATTAAATACCTTTATTTGGCATAGCAAAAAGCCGAAGATTAGAGCTGAAATCCTTCAGGATAAAAAGGAGAGAGGAGGCCTTGCAGTACCTGATTTAAAGCTAAACTACTATGCAGCTAGCCTGGTTTGTACTGCAGATTGGATTATAAATGCTGGTGAGTGGTTAGAAATAGCAGATCTTGAAGATGGTATACACAATCTGTAATGGGTAAAAGAGTCAGTTAAAAAGACCCTGATATTAAAGTATAACAATGCATTAAGAGACAGCCTAATAAAAATTTGGTATTCTGTGAGAAAAAAAAATAGTCCTCCAATCTCTCCTCTAATGTTCTTGGTTGAAGCATATAGAAAATATTTAAGGAAAAATAATGATTTTATAACTTGTGGAGATATGATTGATCAACAAGGATGAATCAAATCTTGGCAACCAATTAAATACGAAGGGAAAAAATATACAGTAGTTTGCTTATCACCAACTGATTTCAAGACTGAAAGGTGAAATGCAATCAGGAAAAAGTACTGTAAGAGATTTGACAGATTTTGAAAAGTTGATTACACAACAGAACAATCATCTATTAGGAGGACTTTACAAGCAGTTCCTACAACATGACACTGAAAATCAGCAAGACAAGAAACATTTAACAATTTGGAAGCAAAATCTTGGAGAAGGAATATCATCTTGTCAATGGGGAGCTTTATGGAAGAAAGACATTAAATTTATAGACAGTCAAGGACTAAGGAAATTAGTATAAGATGTACTAATATTGATATAATACATTATTCTAAAATATATAGAAAAATAGATAAGAATCACAATGGAAAATGTTGGAAATGTAGGATGGGACTTTCTACCATATGTGGTGGACATGTGAAAGAATTAAAATGTTTTGGAAACTGCAACATGCAGAAATACAAAAAATCTTTAAAACTAAGTTTCCTATGAGTCCTAATAATATGCTTTTGAATATAATGTCAGAGGCATTTTCAAAGAATATGTATTTAAATATATGACAACTGCAACAAGAATCACAGTTGCTTCTAAATGGAAATCATCAGAATCCCCAACAACTGAATGGAAAAATAAGCTGGCAAAATATGCAGCAACTTACTATGTTAATAGAAGACCGGCTGAACAATTTAATGACAAATGGAAGTTCTATTATACTCAGTACAATTAATAGGATGCAAAAGGCAGCTTTTTTAAAAGTAGTTGAGGATTTATAATTGATTTAAAGTGATTGGAAAATTTGTTGGTGTACAGAATAATAATTCCCTTTTTCTGAACTTCCATAGAGTGCCGAATGACCAAAAGACAGGTATTTTTTGGTATTCTTGAAATTTGTGAGCTTGAATGTATTGGTCATTCAAAATACCTTGGAAACTTTATTCTATTTTATTTTACTTTTATATACATATACTTTTCGTCTTTCTGTATTTTATGTTAAGAAAATAAAAAATAACAACAACAAAAGACGGTACCCCCCAGAACATGCCCAATCAAGGCTGCCCATTTTCAGACCCAAGTACTATATATCTCCAGAGTTATCCAAGTCTAACCAAAGTAGCCATAATAAAATACTTATGCGCAACAGTGGAGTGCTCTCCAAGGGGGTTAAAAAAGGTAAAGATGAAAAAACTGGTGACCAAGAAGGGCTCATAATCAAGGTGGGGACAACAAAGGGTGGTCGTATGTGGCAGTAGCACAGGTGAGCTTAGCATCTGCTGCTTTTCCTGCTCTTTCCAAGAGGCTCACTACCTGGGTTCAGATAGCCATAGCTTGTTAGGGTGGATTGCAAGTTGTTCCAATTGAAGTTGGTTAGCAGTGGAGTTCCACAGAAAATTTCATTGTGACCCATGCTTTTGAACTTATTCATAAATGGTCTGAGAATTAGAAGTGAGGTATGACATACCCAAGTTTGCTTACAGCATCAAATTATTTAGGGTGCAAACACCCTAAATAACAAAAAGGAATTTCCAAACTGTGAGAGTAAGCACTAAAATAGCAAATACGGTTCAGCATAAACAAGCATATAGTGATCTATGTTGAAGCACAACATTTAGAATAGTGTGCAGATGTGGTGAGGGAGCGAGGAAGGGAGGGAAGGAGGTTGCTGTGCTGGAAAAGGTACAGAAAAGCAGAGCTAAAAGGATCAAAGGGGTGGAACAACTACCCTGCAGGGAAAGATTACAGCAGCTGACATTGTTTAGCTTAGAAAAAATGCAGGTGGATGCTGCTACACTCATTTCCTGCTTGTGGGATCCTGTGGGCAACGGGACAGCCACTGTGTGAACAGAATGCTGGACTAGGTGGACACTTGGTCTGATCCAAAAGAGCCAAGAGTGTGGCTCTTATGTTCTTAAAACATTCAGAGTATTTCTATGCTTCTACTGAAAGCCTTAGCTGAGTAGTGTAGTCACTGTATTTTAACAGAAGTATTTGGAGATTCACAATGCAGTCATAGGATTTTCTATTAAGGCAGCAGAAATTTAGTAGTCATCTAACACTTTCAAATAATTGCTGATGAATATGTTTAATGGGAATTAATGATATCTGAATATTTTACACATTGATGTGTTAATGTCACATGTTATATTTTTGGATCAACCCTTGACACCTTTCATTCCTCTATTCCCTTTCTTTTCCTTTGTATCTTGTGAAAATGCATTTTAAAATACTATTTTACACAAATAGTAGCAAAACTGATCTAAGCTTGTATTCCAAGCAACATCTGGATTGTTAAACAAGCAAAATCAAGGAAGTTTCAATTCAAAGAAACAATTTCTGATTGTCTGAGAAATGACCGAATGTTCATCAACCAGGAAAGGTTTAACTATAAGAAACTGGTGTATTGCAGAGGGCTGAAGTAGAATATATTGTCCAAGTAGCTTTCCTTCTAAGAATAGATTGTTTAGTATGGTTCTCGGAAAGACTCTGGAAATTACCAAGTACAGCACACTGTGAAACTCTGCTTCTCCTTTCTTCCACATTCTTACCACGAAATGAGCCTTTTTAAAAGAGTAAAAATTGTTATTCTTCAAAAAAAAAAAAAATCCCATGGAAAATCAAGATTTCCCACCCCCATGAAAAGGAATCTGAAAAACCAACTAGTAAAACAAAACAAAGAGGTTTTCTCTGTATAGAAATAGCATTATCAAAAAGGGTTTAGCCTGCAAACAAACATGCTTACACAAAGGGAGACAAACTGAAGAAAAACACTTTGTATGACTATTTGTTATGTGAAAATGAGTGTTCAGATATTTAGTGATGTTTATACTGGTATCACAACACCTTAAAGAATTTAACCATTAGTTATATTTGTGATAAACTTAATGTCAGCACTTTATTATTTGTTTAAACACTCAATTATTCACTTTAAACTGTGGAGTGTTACCTTTTTCTCTACTGTTGGAAGTAAACCCCATAGTATAGATTCACAGAAAAACTGAACCAACAAACAGAAGCACTAATGATTTTATATAGGAACTAGAAAGCATATCCTCTACATGAAGAATTCTTCGTTGAGGGCACAATTGCCAGTGGCGCAACAGTAGGATATATTCTCTTTGCAATTACTTGAAATCACTCTAGTTTTGACGTTAGAAATTGTTACGGCCTTGGTAATCTGGAAGCCATTACACAAACAGGGGCAGAAAGGGAAACAATAGTCAACATGAAATTTCATTTAAATCAACTTGGCGCAGCACTTCCTTCTTGCTGACTTCACTTGATTATATTGGTTTTCCAATTATGTTTACACAAATTTACACCATATCAAAAATAGGCATTCAAACTTGTCAGTACAGCCACCTATTTTGTTTTCGGTTGAAGCCGGTTCAAAACAGACCTAGCAAAACATCTTGGGAACAAGTAATCAACCTCCATTTGTTGCAAAGGAATCTGCACAAAACCAGAACTGACAGGAATACAACGAGTGTCTAGACCCTCTCCTCCCACCTACCTCTCTGCAGTGTAAGTTCAGGAATAGGTCTTTACAGGCATGCCATACCCCGCGTGCATAGAAAGTAAATGAACCCATTTTAAAAGGCAGGGCCTCCCCAATCCTGTGGTATTGTGCCAGACAGAAAGGTTTGATGGTGAAGATGCAGGGAAGAGATGCATCTTTTAAAAGATGCTATTTCCGATGCAACCATTGCCTTTACACATTGCAGAGAAAAGATTCATGTGAGCCTTTGACCTCTTCCTGTTCTTATCACACACAGAAGACAATAAAGCCCTGTGATTGCACACTAACTACAGAGAACCTTCATCACACAAGAGATTAAAGGATACAATTTTAACATATATGGATCAAGCATTTATACCATAGCTAAAAACCACCCCCTTAGCCATATACCAGTTTATCCTGTAGTCATGCCCCACAGTAGTTCAACATGAAGGGCAATGAAAATACCAGATGGTAATCCCCTTCAACAACTGAAACCACAATACTTCATCACAGAAAAAGTTCTCTAGTTTCCCAAATCAGTTTAATACAAGCAAATTGCCACAATCCTGTGCTCATACAAGAGTGCTTTTATATTGTAAGCTTCTTTTATAGAAAACAAGCGATGACCTAAAATGTTTTCTACCAAAACAACCCAAATCTCACTTTGTTCAAACTCAGGCGTCAGCCAGTATTGCTTACAGCTCAGTGGAGAGACAGTGCTACACAGCACAAAATAAAGGTATAGTTTACTTGCGACTGGGATGAAAAATTAAACAATAGTACCACAGAGGTAGAAAATTTCAAGCGCTAACCCTGAATCAGACAGTCACTTCTTCCTGGTTATCTAATGTATTAGGAACTCCTAACATCCTTTCTGTGTCTAATACCACTTATTGCCTGCAAAAAAAACATTCAGCTGAAGAGTAACAGAAGTGATGGTCACCCCACTAAAGTTAGGTGCCTGTTACTTTAATGTCACCTCTCAACAGGTATTTACAAAATCCATAAAACTTTTCAGCAATCTTTTATGCCTTTTTATGGCACCCATTTCCTTCCATAGCATACACAATGGCTCCTAAAAAGCAACCTGCTCCAACAAGCAGCATTGAAGAAAATGTGATAATTGTGCCATAGCCTATCAACTTATGACAGGAGTTACATGGACTACTATGATGGCTGCTACTTTCCAGTGCTAAGTATACAGATTGCCAAGGATTCCATAGAATCTTAGGCATGTGAAAAGTTACAGAAAGTTTGAGAAGATTTAAAAGATCAACTGCAAATATGATTGACTGAAATGTACTAAAAATATTCATGAATACAATAAAGTACTTTATCATGGTGCTGTGGGCATGTATGAATAACCTACATGTCCATTTAAAAAAAATCAGACTATGACAAGTAAAATCCAGTAGAAAGGATAAAATAGGGACCAAATAGTTTTATAGGATTCTTTACAAAGGAATTGCATATAATTGTTCTTTTAGCAGCAGGCTGCCATGCTTACTTTCACCAACAAGAGCCCCACAGCTGGGATCTCATCCGCCTCAGGAGCTCCTACAGGAAGTTTAGGCCTCATTCTCTTTTAAGGCTTATTCAAGCAAACACTAATATCTGTAAGCTGTTTTATACAATTAGAAAAATGACTCTTATAAATGCACAACATTCTACAGTAAATACCTTAAAAATTGTGGGCAAAAGGTTATGTCTATCATGGTACACAAGTAGATTCACAGTCTTCATTCCTACTAACAGTTTCATCTCCTCAATAATATGTGTCTTCTTACATCATTACAGGGCACTGAAATTTGGAGGTGTCTGATTCAGTGTGTGCTAGGTTCTAAGACCTTCTGCTTTTCCCAAACTTCACATTTCGTGTGTCTTCTTCCAAAATATGAAACTTTTCAGGGCCTTTGGAGCTTCATATATCTGCATGAAGCTCAAATATACTGATCTTTTAATATAATCAGACATTGAATGCAGCACTTTAACATTTCTTTAAGCGACACCAACTGCTTCTAGTTCATCCCAAGTAAGGTTACCAGGTCACAGGCAAAGCAGTAATGATCTTTGACCAGATTCATTTTCTTTTTCTGGAATTCTTGGCAGCAGGGCAGAACGGGTCAATCCCCAGAATTTTTGAGGTGACATGTCCTTCTTTGTTGAAGTAAATTTCCAACCCATGTGGCTTCCACAGATCCTACACTGGGCTATAGTCCATGCATACCTATAAGTTGAGAGCATCACGTGAGTCTTCAAGCATCATCTTAGTAAACCAAAGAAAATCTACAACAGCCCTTAAGGTCACCAGCATTCAGAATAACCAAGCCACTACAGTACTTCAATAAGACTGGCCATCTGCATGCAGTCATATGGAGTATCACAAATTCATACTAAAAATATGGGTTTTAATTAAGTCAAATTACAGAGGTGCATGGAGGTTTTTTTAAAATGACTAGGCCAGAAGCTAACATCAACCAACTAATATCCCAGTGTTGGTTTCTAGGTAGTACCTTTACAAGAAAGGCTACATTTTCTCAAGCCTGAATTTGTTTTTGAAACCAACACTAGGATATATATATTTAAAAAATGCATGAGTTGCAAATGCTTTTTGCAATTGCTAAGCAATATTTGTCTTGTGCACCTGAATAAAGTGTCTGGGCAGCTTATATCTCTCTTCTGCCCAACTCTCAGCATTCTGAGGGATGATTCATGTCCATGCTCAGAATCAAATGTCAGTACTAGAACCTACAAATGCATATCATTACCCAGGAAACCAGCTGTGTTCTGTGGAAGATCTGCCACTTAGATTCAGGTTGCAGGCTTTGTACACTGTAAGGGTCTCATGCACGTATCCATGAGGATTCACATATGCAGCCATAGGTCCACACAAGGATAAACTACATGCAGTTACCAAAAAAAAGAAGGAAAAAGAAAGAAAGAAAAAGAGAAAGATGAAGGTCCTATACTGAGAATAAGAAGTAGATTTTGTATATTTTTCACATCTATGGCTTCACTCACCAAGCCATTTTACACTCAATATTTTTATTTAAATGCTGTTCACTCCATCTTAGGTGCAGGAAAAAAAATCAGAAAGATGTGGGGCAATTGGTGGTGAGTGTGCTCAACAGTGAGAATGGGAGACTGGACAAGACAATCAGATACCAGAGTTACACTTCAAATAACCTCCCGCACCAGTACTTTTAATCCTCTAGACTAGATTAAGTATCACTGGCCAACCAACCACGTTCTTGACTAGTTATAAGCTTCCATTATAAAGAAGCTACTCTGAAGATTTCTAGAGGTAGAAATCTGTAAGAAAATATAAGTCAGTTTTCATATATGTAAAAGTAAACTTATTTAGTGCCAAATATTGGCCATGTTACAATAAATAATACTTATAATAAATAATACAATAAATTCAATAAATGTGTGTTTTGGACAATAATTCAGTGGGGTATGGTACAATATACTTCATTAAAAACTCACCTGAATATTTCATTTTTAGTAGTTATTTCTGTGTCCTGGCAGTGTTTACAACAGAGAGATGTACACTACAAATAAAACAAACTTATGTGAGCAAAAGATTCTCATTTTTGACTTGCACAATGGCAATTTCACTTGTAAATGACTTCAAATTATAATTAAGGTCTAAAGTTTGCATATGCCATTAGCTAAGCAAGTACATTCACATACTTCATATACTTTCAAAAGCATTTAACTCTGACTTTATCTCATTTATAATGCCAATTGCCTCCAGAACTTAAAATCTGTATATATTTCCCTACATTTACTCATACTTCCCAGCCTTGCATGTATTTTCTAGCCATGAAATTACCAAGAGCATCAAGAGACTTTTGTCTCTCTTGCCAAGTGGCTTCCTGCAAACCACAACAGGATCAGTCTCCTGGATTAAGGCAGCAAGACAAACTATCATCTGTTCAACAAACCCTGGAACAAATGATGGATCATTAGGGTGGCTTGTTGCTCAATAAAAAGGCCACCCTGCAAGAAGCAGTCCAGATTTGGATGATACAGTAACACACCACAGCTTGTTACCCATAATAATTTGCCATGTTGTATGAACCTGCTCACTATCAAGAAATAGCACTGGCTGCAACAATCCTGCAACTTTTAAATAGGTAACTCCAGAGACTTATGCTTACCACATCAAGAAATATTAATGTTGCCAAACAATATTAATGTGCTCAATCTTTTCTCAACAACCTGATTCTTGAGCATGACAAAAAACCAAGGAAATGTGAGTTCACTATTGATATGTGGCAACCAGATTTAATTTACAGTCCAAACTTTGCATGTCTTCTCAGAAGTAAACCCCATTAAGTTCAATGAGACATATTTCCAGTTAAGTCTGATTGGATTTCAAGCCTCAGTTAAGAATTTCAGCACACTTACTTTGTTCATAATATCTAGTTCACATCGCAGTCGCTGAACAGCACTACCAATTTTAAGTAGTTGAATTCGCAAAATGTCATCAATGGGCAGACAAGCTGCGACTCTGTATGAAAAATCTGGAAGAACAAATTTTATTTTACATATTTAAAAGAAGCAAAAGGCTGTATCAGACAGATATAACATTAATTCCAAATTACTGGTGCATTTCTAATAAAAGGATTCAACACTCACAATCTACCAATAATTTTTCTTATATGTATTCAACTGAAAGAAATGAGGTGATTATTTCTTCCACATTATTTTCAACAGATCCATAGAAAAAAAATCACCATTAGCTGCACTGGAGTTTGTGTCTTAGAATTGCACTAACTGTATGGTGAATGATATACCTAATAAGACACTGAAGAAAAGTCTGCAACTGATTTCGACAGAATGACAGGACTGCTATTTTAGCATAACTATACTGGGTTGCATTACACAGTTAATTAGGATGAACTGAAAAACAGATGTTAAACAAATAGGTGGCCAATCTGCTTCTGAAGCAACTTCTTTTTTTCCTGCATCTTTGCCCATCTGCACAGACACAGAAAGTTTCTGTTGGATGTCTGTTTGGTGAGGGAGCTGAACAAGATGGTGCCAGTCCATACTATATGCTACATAATAGTTTAATGTTTCCCACAGAAACCAATTTAAGTTGCTTTCACATAAAGCTTGTTAAACTGGTGAAGCCACTCCAAGTACTGTTTAAAATAATACGTATGACTTTAAAGGAAAAAAAAACTGGTGGTACTTTAAAGACTAACAGACACACCACAGCATAGGTTGCAGTCAGATACTAAATTTTTCAGTACAGAACCACAGTTTGATATTGGTTTTGCAATCCTAGCCTACAGGGATCATTTAAGATAGAGTCTACAAGTTTCCACCTGGAAGAATGTTGTCCATGGGGTCGCGAAGAATCGGGCATGACTTTGCGACTGAACAACAACTACATGTTTCCTAGTTCTGATGTTACAGCAGCTGTGGTTTGACTAGTAAGTATTCTTTTAGGTCAAGTGCAGAAGGGATGGGATGAATATACGCAGGATTCAACTCCATGTGCTGTCTAAATGCAGTCAGTGTTTCATAGGCCAGAGCTTCTATATTAGGGAAATTTAACTTTTCCTGGTATCAGTTCTAAATTATGTACCAGCAGTGGTTAAGAAACAAAGGACAGGTAGAAGATAGCAAGCTAGACTACTATCAAGGAATTGATATTTATTAGACTACCTATCGGATTTGATGGTAGCGATTCATCTTTAAGATTTTCATCCCACTCATGTAGCTGCTGCTTGACTCGTTCCATCAAGGTTTCCTTATGTGGGAAGGAAAACCTAGTTAAACATAAAAACTTATTTTTCTTTATAAAAAGAATAAGGAACAGTGGTGGTGCCAGTACAGTGGTGCCTCATACTTTGAACTTAATTCATTTCAGGAGGCTGTTTGAACTCTGAATCATTCGAAGTCCAAATCAATTTTCCCCATTAGAAATAATGGTAAGTTAATTAATCCATTCCCAGATCCTAAACAATACCCATTTTGGGAAACCTAAACAGCAAATCTGGCCACCTGAAATGAATTAGGTTTGAGGTAATATACAAGGTATGATAAAAAATACAGTGAATGTTTAAATTTAAAAACAAATACACTAAAAGACACATTGGCATAAATCCCCCTCAAAACACTCCTCACTTCAAACACACTTACCCCAGCGCTGTCATGGCTGCCTCAATGTCTTGCATCAATTCAAGATGAATCAATTCAAGTTGAGATGAAATGTATTGATTCAACATGAATTGATTCAGGCTATTGAGGCTTTTTTTCAAATTGGGTATACAACCAATGACATTTTTGCTCCAACTGCATTTTTTCACTTTGCGCACAGTGCGAAATTAGAAGCATTGTTTGAACTGCAACTCTTAATGTCATCTCGACTCCATGTTCAAACTCTGGATAGTTTGAAGTTAAGAGTCATTCTAACTACAAGGCAATACTGTATTGGAAAAGACGATCTAGCCACATCTTTTACATTAAATTCCATTAAAAGGGCAATGTTTTGAAGACTAACACAGATATTACACAGTGCACACATATGACTTAGTATATTTGATTCATTGGCAAACTGAAAATAAAGAACTAGGACCCCTTCCCTATGCAATAAAAATATGTGAAAGGACGATCCAAGTGGACCAGCTCTGTCTCCCCCTCGCACTAAGAGCATATGCAGGAGTTCCTCCATATGAAGTGAATGCTGAGCTCTGTCCATTTGCCTTAGTATGGAGACTCTGCCAATGTGCTCCAAATGCACGGCCACTGGATATCAAAGTGGCATTAGTCAGGAAGCTTGGGGATGGGTGCACTGTGGGGACTACACTCTGCCTCCTCCACAGAAAGAAGTTCTGCATCGCGCACTGGTGGGCAGTGTGTTCTTTCCTCTCTGGTTGTCTCCTGCCAATTCTGGAGTGCTGAAAACTAGTACTGGTGCCTATAGTTTCAGTAAGTGTATTGCACATTTATGGAACTAGCATTTCCCCATGTAAAGATATGAGGGAAGTACTGGTTCAGTGATAGCTCAGAATAGCCAGGAGCATCCCAAGAGAAGAGGAAAAGCCCTGCTACTAGCAGCAGAAGCCACTGGAGTCAAACCTGAGATGAGGAAGGAGAAAGGACAATGAGGGCCACACAACCAAACTGCTTTCCAGTTGATTCGAGTGACTGTCTGTCTGAGCCTAGATAATTTGTGTTGGCTTCCAGTTCCTTCCTCTATAGTACCTCTCTTTGTTTAGATTTTTGTGGCCTGCCGCCCGCCCTTGCAGCAGCTTGTGTGACTACCTGCATTACTCCTGAAAGAAAAGTGTGGTTGTGCTTTGCTGCATGAGCCTCCTGTGCTTGCTTCACTTCATTCAGCTGTGTCCCAAGCCCACCCCATTTATATCTTGTTGTTCTAGAAGATCAGAGGTAGGCTGGGGTTCTGCAGTTTGCTGATTGGGAAGGAATTGTGGATTATGGATTGCGATGAAAGAGTAAAGCACTGCATTTTTTAAAAATGCTGGTAGAAAGAAAGACCTGCATTTTTTAAGATAATGCTTGGAGGTGAGACAGATATGAAAACACATTTTTAAAAATGCTTGATAGTGAGAAAGTCTCGCAAATACTTTTTAAAGAGGCTTGCAGTTGCAAACATTTTGTAACATGGTAGTGAGAGAGAGTTCCAACACTTCTTTAAAATGCTTGGTGGTGAAAGAGTAGCAAGCATCTTTAAAAAAAAACTTGCTGGTGAGAGAAAGTTTAAGAAACAATGGAAAAGTGCCCTTTCTAATTTTCACACCTTTCCAGGCTCTTCTGCATCTCATTCTGTGCTGCACTGCCATGCAACTGTACGGTGGAACTGCTGGACCACATGGCCTTGACTTTGTTTTTGTTCCCCCGCCAGTCAGGTTGGGTATGTCAGAAGCAGAGCTAGACTACAGAGCTCCACAAGCCCCTCTCATACTTTCCCAGTGTGTGGAACATAGCCCGAACACTCTTGTAGCTAAAGAGAGTGTGAATGTGACAAATTACTCTATTGTAAGTTGCATGAAACATTTTTGCTCTATGAATGTTTTGAGCTTCTATTTACTGAAGGAGTCTTTTCTCAAAATGAACAAAAACAATGGGTACTCCTCACTGTTATTTACTTATTGATTGGGCAAAAAGGTGAAACAATTATCAGCCATCAAATAGGGTAATAAAGATTCATTGAGAGTTTACACATGTGAATTCATACCAGTCACTTTTAAAGTGGGAGGACTGGTACTTAGCAGGCAAGGACATAAGAAAAGCCACGCTGGATCAGACCAGTGGTCCATTGTGTCTAGCATGCCATCACAAGGAGGCAAACCAACTGTCCACAGGATCCCTCAAGCAGGATGGGTACAAGAGTTCCACCTGCGCGGGTTTCACAGCAACTGGTGTATGCAGTCATGCCACCTGCGATAGTTCAAGTAGCGCACAATCAGCAAAGCTAGTAGCCATTCCTCCACAAATTTGTCCAACTCCTTCTTTTTAAAAAAAATATACTTTATTAACATTTTAAACTAACACTAAAAAACATCAAACATGGCAAACATTGGATTTACTGGGTCAACCTGTTACTACATATTTTTTAACATTAAAATATGTTTAAAATATGTCCAACTCCTTTTATTGAAGTCTACTAATACTTCCCAAGGTAGTGAATTCCATCATTTAATTATACTCTGCCCAGAGTCTCTGACCAGTAAACTCCATGGGATGACCTTGAGTTCTAGTATTTCTTGAAACCTTCTTGAAATCCACACTTAATAAGACACTGTTTATTACAGACATGTACTAATTGTAACAGCATATGTTAATTATAGGGTTGTAGGGAGGCAAGCAATTTTAAAATATAGTCCAAATATAGGTGCCCATATTTGTACCACACATACATTCACCACACATAATTTCTTACAAAAGAACAGATAACACATTCAAAGTTCAATGCAACACATATCAAAACCAAGGCTTTTTTAGTACTTACAGCATCATATAATGAATACAGCCAAGATGGCCAGGAAGTCAGGCTAGCACAGTGAAACTTGCGCTGCAATAAAAACAGATTTTCTTTACTAATAAGGAGAAACTCCTTATTAAAATGTTTATAAAATTATCCTAATTAAAATGTTTCATCAAACGTTTTGTTGTTGTAATCTGCCCAGGGAGCCATGTGGCTAATGGGACAGGTTAGAAACCCATTAAATAAATAAATAATCAAATAACTCCCCATGCAAAACTATTCTTTGTATGCATTAGTATTTGTTTCAGTATATTATGAACACGGACCTCAAAACATCCTAATACAAGTAGAGAGAAATGTTCTGTATTAGTAAAGAGCACGTACACCAAACATGGGCATGCGTGAATTAAAAACAAAGTGTGAAGTGTTTATGTTTCCACACAGTCACACATGCTTTTTCCCCAGATGATCTATTCAATTTTACTTTGCCCTTCCTTTTTAATTCTCCACTGCCAGTCAATCAGTATCCCATGCTTACAGCACCGAGTAGGCAACTTTTGCCTTCTACTTTCTTCTAAAACAATTTTCTGTACTTCTGCAAATCTTGGGATTCCCCAAGCACATTGATAGCTCCCTTCTGGTGCCTGGTTCTGTTCTGGTTATATAAGGAACTGGACTGGAAGAATGGTTTCACTAATAGTATATGTAGCATAGAATAAACACTTGAGACAGCGATGTATGAGAAATCCGCTTTGGAGGTAAGATTCAGCTGAATATCCTTGGCTTGGCTCCATGGATTTCAGCCCACTTTCTCTCTGCTCTAAATTCACCCCTGTGTCAAAGCTGTGCATGGGCTTCCAGCAGGAAGTGAAGCCAAGAAGCTGGCTTGTGCACACACCACCCATCATGCAAGTGGAGCTCTGTGTCCACATATGTGACTCTGCAGAATTGAGTGCTTTGCACAAAGAAGGGTTCCTCTAGTTTTTTTTTTAGCGTGTTTGCAGTTTGGCATGCTTCCTGGCCAGGGCCAAGCGTGGGAAAGAATCTGGTGAGCACAAGAGAGCAGGATACCAACTGGATCTTCACTTCTTTAACTCAGTGTGATTCTGCATTATTACATTCATTACATAGGACTTAATGGTGGTCATAAAGGTAGCAAACCTAGAGTGTATACTTTCACACAGTTTTAGATTTAACCCACTCAGTTCCTTTCCTGGGAAAAATAACTTATTGCAGTCAAACAGTGGGTTTAACTGAATATATCTTATCTAATATAAAATGTGTAGCTGGAAACTGTGCTGAACAGATAAGCCAACCAAACAATCTGCTGCAGCAGCAGGGTTTTGACAGTCACCCTCCCAGTTCACACATCTTTCTTTAAAAAGAGACACACAGATGGAATTTATATTGATTTTTAAAATGTCATAGGAAAAAAAATACAATTAGCTTCTGACCTTCTGATATTTTTGCCGCCATTGATGTATATGTTGATCCTGCCATGCTGCAGGCTTGGAAGAAGGAAATATGTGGCATCTGCTGTGAGACTCCAGCTGTACTGCTGACATAGTTGAAGGCAGCACTCGCTCAGGAAGGATTTGTACTTTTGCCTGCTGTATTCTGATAAAAACATTTCATGAAAGTATGAAAATTGCAGCCATTTGGCTTCTTTTGACCACATAAATATGGCTAGTTGTTCAGCCCCTTTATTATAAGTAAGGTATCTGAAAAGAGCATTATGTAAAACATTTTAATATATTTTAGTAGATTTTAAAATATCTATTCCAAATTTTATTTTCCAACTTATAAATATCCTGTTGGTTCTCCCATCCTACCTCATAACAATCGTTCCATGGTTCCAAAGGTTCCATGGATAGGCTTTAATTAGCCCTGAGATTAATCTTAGCCTGTTCTTTAAAATGGGAAAAATGTTAAAGCTAAATAATAGGCAGAAGGGATGGTGACATGGTCCCAAGATAACATCTGAGGGAATGTAGCATTTTGTGGGTTCCCAGATCCAAAGTCCTGGAGCAACTGGGGAGGCCAAGATAGGATATACCCTAAAGCTGCTCCAATGTCCTTCCTTCACTCTCCAAGACTCTCCAGTTAAATGAATGAAATAAATGAAAAGCGGGAGGATGGGGAGGTATCATTCTACCTGCTCTGCACTGAATGCTCTTAAACTTCTAAATTCAGGGGCTTGCAGGCATCCCAATAGGAATGGTTCCTTAAATTGATCAAATCTTTACCATCACAGGAATATACTTTAAAACTTGCTTCACCTAGTTATTTTGTGTGCCCATAACGTAATCTTTTTTGCTAAAAAAACAACATAAGCAAATGATTTGATTAGTCTTAGCTTAACATCAACAGAAACAGACTACCTTCCAGAATCTTAAGTGAAGATAACACATACACAGCTGTATTTAGATGTACGGTATGCCCAAACTGGGGCAGGCACTTCTCTATTTAAGTCATTCCAGGGCAACCAAGACCTGAAGTTCTGTGATGGTGACTTTCCTCAAAATTCTAGACAAGCCTGAATGCCCTATAATTGTTCTAAACTTGAACCAGTTCCAAGCCCAACATTGGAACATACTGCCTCTCAAGGTGAGGGCATGTTTCTTCAGTTCTAAAATAACTAATGGTAATAAAAAGAAATTTGATTGGCAACAGTGAAAGGTAAACTTTTTCAACTGTGTATACTGTTGAAAGGTATACTTTTTGAACTGTAAAAGGTATACTTTTTCAAATGTGCTTCGAATGAGTGACTTAAAGACTGGTGTTAAAAATGTAATGGAAAAGATCATAAGCTGCCTTGGGATCCTCACAAGAGGAAAATGGCAGAATATAAATGCAATGTAAAAAGTTTTCTTTGCAAGTCTCATGATTTCATATCTATTCATAAAATTAGTCATTGCCTCCCCATAAGTGAATAGATCTATTGCAAAGTTTATATCATAAAGATTTTTTACTTTAAAAAAAGAATCTGCAATTTTAAAGAAAACTAAGTCAATACAAGATTCTGTCTAGACAGAGAATGCTCTTTTCTAATAATCCACATTATTTTCTGATTGTAGTTGTTCTGTCCCCAGTGTGGACTAACTGCAAATACTTACAGAAGAAAAAAAATCTGTTTTATTATTTCAGATGGTTTGCCACATGCAAATACTGATTGTATTAATGTGTGCTGCCACCTTGTGTTCAAACAGCTATATTCCTGGTATATAACTTGATTTTAGTGTTCAAAATATAAAAGCCCCTTTAAACCATTTCCATTCCATTCACTTCACATTTGGCAGGGGCAGAAGTTTGGATAGCACTCTCTGCATCATGGCTCCCCACTAAGAAGTCATTCTAACAGCCACCACCACTGGTCAAAAGTGTAACTAGTTTTTAAAGCAGTCTGTATATTGAGGAAGAATAAAACACAAATGTCTGCAACAAGTACTCAAAGTTTTGGGAAGAAAATCCAAACTAGTTTAAAACTTCCTAAGAAGTATAGGGAATGGCAAATTCTGACAGAAAAACACCCCTTTAGAATAGGAAAACAAGTTAAATGCTCTACATTAGAGAATATGAATGCGCATCTGTCCAAATCACAGATGCAGAAATTCTTCACAAGTTCTTTTTTAAAATATACAACATATATACATGTATGTTTAAAGAAACGTATGACTGTTCATCAGCAAGCCCTGACTGGCTGTCTCTGTGACAGTTCAAAGTTTGTTTCATGCCCTTAGAACAAAGTCAAACATTCCCTTATCAAATCACCATGTTCACGATATAATTAGCTGCCTGAAAAATGAACAATCTCTACAGAATTGTACAAGCATGCAATCAACTTTCAGAGTTCCTCAATCCCCAAACCAATCTGAAAATGAGATTGGAAGTCTTTATTCTAGAAAGGATCCCAGCACAATTCGTATCTGTTCCTGCTATTGATACAGAATGACCAAATGCAAATACTGATTCTAGAAGCCCCGGAGCAGGCTATTTTTGTCCTCTACTTCCCGTTTCCAGGTAGCTGAAGCACTTCACACCTGTAAATATTTCTACTCAAAGTCACTTTTGTGTAGCAATTTATGTTTACTTCAGGTACACAAGGTCCACACATTGAGAAGCTATAATACTGGAAGTAATATTATAATTGTAAAACTTTACCCTATGTTAGCTTATAATATTACTTCTAATATTATAAGCTAACATAGGGTAAAGTTTTACAGCTTTAGATCAAGTCTAGCAAAACATTCCTGAATTAAGGGTAAACCAGGCATCTTTTTGTTATGGCATGTACCCAGCTTAAAAAAAAATAGCGAAGCTAAAGAACTCCCTAAGCAACATGGCATAAATAAGGAATTCTCTTGATCAGATTAATCAAATGTAATTTTATTTGCTTGCTGAATTTTGTACTTATCCCAGAATGTGGGGTAACTTTCCTTCCCTTAGCTCACAGTCTGAACTACTGAATAGCCTTTCTAGGACACTGTTACAAAATACCTGATCTAAAGCATTCCCAAATTTCAAGTTCCCAATTTTTTATTTCTCTAAATCAAAACATGCCCAGGCAGAAACGTAGAGTCTCTATAGGGTAGTTTTATAGTCTTCAAATAGTCCACAAAAAGGAACAAAGAAATAAGGTTCAGTACTGATCATCCTGTTCACTTTTTAAAAGAAAATATTTTTATTTTTAAAAAGGCAGTACATAGAATTGAAATCCGTCGAGGAAAACTTGGTTAGGATTTTTTAGAGTTAGTGGGTGAAAACATTGTTATGCAGAGAAAAAGTCAATGGGTTAGGACTGTTTTGTATATTTTCCTGTTTATCTGGATAGAGCCTCAGTTTATGGGGCACATCCAGTCCATTTCCCTGCTGAACAGTGGTTCAGTAGACCAGTTGTCTGTGTTAGAGGAAAAGGAGGGACAGAGCTGAGTGTCAAATACATATTTGTGACACATCACTGAATAAATTCTCCCAATTGTTTCATGCAGGTGTTGGGAAGAACCCCGAGGAACCCCACAGCACAATTGCCATGAGGCGGAACAATAAAACAGTATATTCCACTCAAGCACCATATGATACCCTCTTCTTAATGCTGAACTACATGATTTGTTACTGAAATATTTCTTGAACTGAGATGGCCTCTTTGGCATGGAGCACTTATTTAGGTTTGTTGACTCAGCTACAGCGGAGAGGAAGTGTAAAAGAGGCATCAGATTCTCCGATACCAGAAGGATCTAACTTCATGGCAGGAATTTGACTGTTCCCTTCTAGCTCTATGATATTATAAAAGCAAAAGACCTCTTTAAAAAGTGCACCTCCACTTTTACCATGATAACCCATTTTACTGTATGAGTTAGCTGAGCTAAGGTACTTTAACCTTACAACTGTAAATACTTGATTTTTGGGGGTTAGTTGTATTACATCTGGAGACAAATTTTAACTTTACTTCTGCATTAACTAAATATTCTGTGCCTGGTTATTCTTCATATTTTTCTTAACACAAGAATCATATATTATCTATTCAATATATTATCATCATTCGTCCTCTTCTATATCTGTGGGGCTTAAAGACAGTGACAGAATACATAATATCTACATTCGCATAAATTTGTTCACAAACATCTAATGCAAAAGTTATCAGTAAAACTGTAGAAGCAGCAATAGGGATTTTAGAACTGATACAAAATATAAATGCACTGATTCATTAAAATGTTAAACCTAATTCTAAACACCTACTTTTATTTATCATATTAGAAGACACTCTGGACTAGTTCACACAGCTCAAGATACTCTTCACATGACAGAGAAGTGGGCCACATATTGTATACGTTTCACATGCAGGGTGACACATAACACAAGTACTGGCTCTTCCCTACCTACCTCTAATTTAGAGAGGTTAAAGCAGAACAAATCAGGTATATTTTGTGGTTACATTATACATTACTATGTCACGGGATGATGCTTGAACCTACTTCCCTGCCATGCAAAAAAGATGGAGATAGTGCAGGTGAAAAAATTTAAACAATCCTCCACCTTTTGTGACCTATGTTAATGGTTTTTCTATGACTACCATCAGGATTCCTACACTTCAGTTTTCTTGCTTGTGCCCATTAACTAGCAGAACATAGAAGTGGTACCCAGTCAGTGATCCTACATCATGAGGCAGCTGTGTGTGAGCATTAAAGCTTAACTGATTTACCATTAAAGCAAAGCAGTATTTCCATATTGGTCAAGGCATTTCCAGATCTTTTAAAACGGACAAATTTATAGAATTCTGTCATGAAAAGGTATTATATCTGCCTAAAATAAAGTTTAAGCATTTCAATTACTTCTGCCAATCCAGATAAAGGACATCATGCAGTAAAATATGTGTTGAATAATTTCTACCTTGGAGGTTGACAGGCTTCAGAACTTTGGGTGATCTGCAGGAAATTACAGTTTCTGAATGCCACCAACAATAATAGCTAAAAGATGTATTACAACAATCAGTCTTCTGAGAGCTAAGACAGCTGAAGGGGTCTTTTGGTTTGTTTGTTTTTTGGTAGAAAGACTGTGAGCTCAGCTGTGGTAATGAATTCCAGACATAACCATGTGTTCAGAAGCAGCTTGTTTTTTGATACAAAGAGTATGCCCCTACTTTTGCACTTGGATCAGAGAGACTGACTTCAGGGCTCTGGTCAAAAACAAGCTAGTTCCTGCAAATATGGTGCAATGCTGATAACTGGGAATCAGAAAGTGGTACTAATCTATCAAGAATTGTAAATTCTAGTCTACTTTTTGCCTTCTCTAACTCCAACACAAGTCTTGCCCTGCTCATAAGCAAAGTTGATGGGGACAAACAGGTGCAGAGAAAGCCATAGAAAAAGTCTACATTTTGCATTGATTCCTGCCACACATTATTAATATGATGCTGATATGCATTAGCTGCCCCAGTGAACAAAACAACTCATTCAGTAATCTATGCTATTAATATCAGCTTGTAGAGAGCAGCTAAACAAGACATAAGCTGAGAATTTCATATGGACAAGATTATAACAGTTTATAAGATGTTCATAGTCTTCTGTTCAACATCATATTGCTCCTTATTTCCTTACCCATCTGCTTGAGTTCTTATTTCAAGCACTTTAAACCTCTGTCTTCCCACTGCTTTTACTTTAACTGTTTCAATTCCATAATCCACTTCTTCTCGATAGGCATAAATTTCAGCTGTTGTTCCAAAATGTGCTTCTCTTTCAAGTATATTGCTAAAAAAAACAAACACACACATGCATTAGAAAAGACTGTGTTACCTGCCTTAGCATTCATTTATCTGCTATCATTACATAATCATCCGTACATTTTTCTTCAATCCAAAATTTTTCTCTTTACTATCTGAAAAATATAATTGTGGCACAGCAGCATTCAATAACCCATCTTAACATAAATATATTTGTATCTTGACAGTCTACATCCAGTATTGTAAAAACATACAAATGTTTAAAGATATGTAATCAAAACAAACTGATTTTCTATTCTAGGTGAGTTTAAAATAGTCTGAAAACCAGTAACTTTGTTATATGGAAAAATGTGGCAATGAATTTGACTTTCAGGCACAGCTCTGAAAGTTAGGGATTGCTTCATTCATCTTAATGTTTGGTAATATCTTCAGCCCCACTGTGGTTGTTTAAATCACTTCCTGGTGCTTAAGTAAATGGAGTAACTCCTGCTGAGCTGAACTACAGCATGTGTGCAGGAGCCCTCCAAGGTGCACTGGACTGCAACCAATGAATTTTAAAACATGAAATAGCAATGCTACAGTCCGTAACATACAGTCTATTTGCTGCTTCGACAGATACAACATCAGTTCTAGGTAAGTGCAAGTCTATTTACATATTCACCTGTAAGCAAGAACAGCAAAAGTTCTGTCCTTCTGTATTAAGTTCCGCACCATGCTAACCTCTTGGGGACGGAAGAGCTGAAGAGGCAATGTTTGTCCAGGAATCAACATTACCATCACGTGGGGTAAGACTGGAATCGTTTGACAACTGTCATCATCATGGACAGTCCTTCCATGAAATTCTTCCATATCTGATCCTAGATACTTTCCAAAAGATAAAACAAAAGTCTCAGTTCAGGGGGAGAGCTTTCATATTTGTTTACAACTTATAAATGCAAAAATTAGGATAACAGCACTGGAATATATGGACTGGTTTCAAAGAACCAAGAAACAGAAATAGCCACTAGTACGTTCCGTTTTTGTGGTAATGCCAGCACAAGAGTTTGCATGTTCCTATAATAGTGCTTCTCTAACTGTTGGGCAGGACCAACTGGCATAGCTGGTTTGCAGTGTTTCAGGCCAGTGGTTTTCAACTGCTGGTCTGCAGATTTCCTGTCAGTCCGTGAAAAAGCCGAAGAGTAGCTCAGAGGGGTGGCATATAAGAGCAGTAAGTTCAGCCTGCTCTTCCTGCTCAGGGTTGCTGCTGTTGCCAGGGGAAATGATCCATGCCAGCTCTTCCCCTCCTCCTGCTGGCATCAGCTGGGTTCCCCCGGTGACATCAGGAGCCCTGAGCGAGTGGGAAGAGTGTGCTGAGTGTGAGTTGCTGCCCTTATATGCAGCTTTGAGAATACGGATGCCCCTCCCCCCGCCCCAGCACACTGGTCCCAAGCTGGCTAGTTCTGGTTTTGTGGCCCCTGACAAGGCAAGCGGCATGGCCATCCTCCAGGTGTTCCTGCTGCTCGTAGCTCCTTGTCAGGTAGTGCAAGGCCAGAGCCAGGCAGCTTGGGGCCACTTGCAGGGTGCGCCGAGAGGGCAGGGGCAGGGGCAGGGGCAGTGGCAGCCTTCTCAGCGTTGCATCTCAGGGCAGCAACTCGCGCTCAGCCCACTCTTCCCGCTCACTCAGCGCTGCTGCTGACACCAGGGGAACTGAGCTGGTCGTAGCAGGAGGTGGGAGAGAGCCCACACGGCTCCACACAAGGGGCAGGGCCATGCAGAGAGCCCCCGAGTGTCGCGGAGGAGCAGCGGAGGGGTGGCCGGGCCATTCAGAACTGCACAGAAGGGCGGCAACTCTCGCTCAGCCCACTCTTCCCGCTCGCTCAGCGCCGTCACCAGGGGAACTGGGCTCATCCTAGCAGGAGGTGGGAAAGCACTCTGACGTCACTCTGGTGTCCAAACATAAAATGCAATGGCTGTCAGAATTTTGGATATCACTCTAACGTACAGAGTTATTAAATTGTTACATATATTTGTGTGAAAAGAGATTTTCAGCCCTGTCACTGATAAAAACCAGAGAAACAGAATGGATGTGAGTGCAGCACTTCGTCTCTCGAAAACAACACTGCAACCCAACCATCAACTATTCAGTAGCAGATTTCACATTAGCCTTATATGAATTAAATATTGCTCTCTAAAAATTTCAGTTGTATTTGATTACATTTAATTTCAATACTTTATTCTTTTATTAGCATTTTACTGCTTGGTTTCTGGTTATTTTAGAGAATTATCATTTTGGTATATTCAAAAACTAATACACAAAATACTATATTATGTATATAATGTTTTTTTTTTTAATTTCGGCCTCAGAGATCCCTGAAAAGTTTTTCCTATTTTCGCTGGTCTCCAGCTGTAAAAAGATTGAAAACCACTGCTTCAGGCTGACTAGTTCCACTTTGTTTGAGCAGCCTATTCTATGACTACACCATACACACTACACATGCACACGTGACAGTGGAAGTTGTTTAGAGAGCTAATAATGTATATAATAATTTGTAAAGATGAATATAGAGAAAAGAAATAAGGAGGAAATGAGTGTAAAAGCAGCAGGCAAGAGGGAAGAATAGAATTTTTGCAGTTGCAAAGAGGGTGCAGGTTGTGGAAAAGGGAAAGGAAGATGATAATGACAAGAGATGAGTAAGAATTCTTTGAAAGACAATAGGAGGAGGGGGGAGAAAATGATATAAAAGTATTTTCTGTTGAGAGGCTCTTGATAAGCAAAGTTTATCTGGAGAGGATGAGTCATGATACTTCCCAAGCCAATGTCTCCATTTCACTTGAGAGAAGCTTAAGTATTCTTCAGCGATTTAGCCCTTTCCAATGAGAGATTGGATATCACTATTGTCACTCATTATGCTAAACTATATCTTCATCTGCCATCATTTTGTAGCAGGGTCTGACCGTGCATTACCATTTTGTAACTGGGCCTCAGTTATTTTCAGCACTCAGATGAGCCTGGACTTAGAAATTTGGGACCCACTGCTACCATAGATATAAATATGCTTGTAATTATGCAAAAGATCACACAATTAGATTAACATAAATGGATTTATTTCCAGAGGAGTAGCCTTGTTAGTCTGTTGCAGCAAAAACAACAAAATATTGTGACTCTTAAGTTTTTTATGGACATGGTCTACTTCATTAGATGCATCAAGTGTTCACCTCAAATTGGTGAGATGATATGTATTTATATACATACACTGTGGTGGGTATGGTCAGAGGCTTGTTTTTATCTATTGAAAATTATTCTTAGATTGTTTTTAAAGGTAAATTAATGTGTATACAAATCTAACAAAGTGCAGTTAACACTTTATGCACCCAATGAAGTGACCCTTAAAAGTCCAGAATCTAGCTGCTAGTCTTTAAAGTTCCATAAGATTATTTCTGATGTAATTGAATTTATTTTCAGTTATGTGCTTCTAGAGTAAGATAAAAATTAAAACTTGATCATAAAAGATAAATCACAGTCTTTCTATGCACCTTTGAAGTCAATTATCTTGAAACCTAACTATGTGTGATTCTTTCAATATATTCAGAACATTGAATGAAGACCAGTTAGGTACAGATATAACAGGGGTTTAAACCTTTATTTTAATATGCAATGATTTGAACCCACCAGCTCCCAGCCCTTCCAATCTTTCTTGTGGAAAAAGAATGACAGATAACATTTTTCAATGTATATTGCATGCTTCTTGCCTGATTTAGGGTATGAGAACGCCAATTCTGCCATTTTCTCCTGGAAAGCTAAGGATAGCTGATGGGAACATTGAGCTGCACTCACCTTACGGTCAAGGGAAATCAATGAAACCCTTTACATGGGCCTAAGTAATTAAATGGGATAAGGGTAGAGTGGAATACAGAGACATCCAAAATACTGCTTATGTTCCTCACCTATTTCCATATGCAAATCCAATCAGAATATATAGGAGTACAGGCAGAAGAAACAATTACTATCATTGGACAGAGTATGTTAAATTTTATTTTAAATATAGGCTGTCTAAACTATTTGGACAAGCTGTTAAAACCCTCTGAACTCATGATATGGAGATGCTCCTTGATCGAGCTTTGCCAGGTGACCTCAGTGGCTTGGAGTGTTTGTAACTGATTTCAGCTGGTACAGTAACTATGCTCATTCCTAGCTAGGAACAGCCTAGCCACTGTGGTTCATGCACTTTGCGCTAGATTACTGAAATGTACATTATGTGAGACAGAATGCAGCAGCTACAGTGCTCATTGGAACTTTCGGAGATGTTCACATCTATGTTAAAAGAACTCTACTAGCTTCCTATCAACTACACAACCATGCTTAAGGTTTTGTTATAGACACACAAAGCCCTAAACAACTTGGGAACAGGATATCTGGCAGACCACCTTGTCTTATATATACCTAGTTGAGCTTTAAGATCTTTATAGAATACCTTGCTAGCTGTTTTACAACCAACATAATGTCACAAAACACTCTGAAGACAAGGTTCCCAGATGGCAGGGCTCTCTCTCTGGAACACCCTCCCTCACACATTTTGGAAGGCTGAATATACGTTTTGTTTATAACACCTTCTGTAAATGCACTAGTTCACCCAGGCATTCCTTGGCTTGTACTGAAATGCAATTAATTATAAGCTGCTCCATGTTACTGTTCTTTGTACTGCTTTGGGTTGACCTTGTATTATTATATTTGACAGTGTTTTTTAAAAATTATGTCAATGTTCACATACATACCACTTAGAAATTTTATTAAGTAAGTACCACATGTTTTGCAACACAGAACAAAATTGGGATAACAAGGGATCAAAGATGTTGAGGAAAGATCATCACTATGGAATACATACCACATGTGAAGTCGGCAGACTGGTATCAAAATTAATGGTGCTTGGCTTTTCTGCCTCCTTGGTGTCTTGATCTTCCACTTCCATTTCAACATCATCTTCTTCCTCACTCTCTGCTAACAAGCCCAAAACAATTGAAAAAATTTAAACCTCAAAACAAAATCAAAGATGGCACAAAAAGTCAATGTTATGAAGTTTTTTTAAGGCAGCTGTAAATTTCTTACTCGCATTTTACTGTGGAAGTTTATGACTGCCCATAATGCTAATAAAGCATGTTTTAGGAGAAGTTATTATTTTAACAAAAGTTTATGATCTTCTCTCATTTGAATCAGGATATACTCTTAGTAAGGTCACATTTGTGATCACTGCCCTATCTGTAGTTCATCGCACTTCTGGGAAATACTGTGTTCTGGAAACTAAAATTTATAATCTTTGGATGGATGCCAAGTTCTTCCCAGCTGTACTTGTTTTCACTTTTCCACTAGTCAGGTTTTAGCCAACAGTGATTTTGCTTTATTATGCACCATTTTTTTAAATTTTACCAAGATCCCAGACCATTTGAATTTTTATAATTAATTTTCAACATCTATTTTCTGCCTTCTTGTAGAAAATATTCAGGGCAAGCAGCTCATAAACAAAATTTTTAATATTCAACAATATTTAAAAACATACAAGTTTTTAAAAACATACAAGACAATATTTTAAGACATACAGGACTAAAACATACAAGTTTGCATTGTATTAAGTGGGATTCTGATTCCTGATAGTGAAGAGTTCATATTCAAAACTAAGCAGCTATGTCTTGGCTGTTCATCAGAAGTCAAGCAGGGTCAGGTGCAATTCCTTTGGCAGGATGTTCCAATGTACTAGTTCCACTCTATACATTTCACCTAATACAACTAGCAAACCTTCATGGTTACCATGGTTTACAGTTTTTCCATGATTTACCCAATAGATAATCAAGTGGTTTCTACATAATTATGGCTTCAATTCTTCTCATTCAGTCCTTCCACCATTGGCATATATCCTATCAGTCACTGTGTCTGAAATTCAACTCCAAGGAACATCACTCCCTGCCTATTTTGTCTGTCTCTTCCTTTTGTATGGCTGAAGTGACTCCTTCAGTTGCTGCTCTTTCCAGAGGACTTTGTGATAGCTGCATACCAGGATGATGGAAAGCATGATCCTGGATACAGATAACATGACAACCCATGGTGGTATGGAGAAACAATAAAACAAACTATTGCTTCTTCTCCTGGTTTTAAATGGTAAGACCAATCTTACCATTACAAAATACCATGACTGGGTTTGGCAACATGAAAGACAAACAATGCTAAAAATTCACCATGGCTTGCCTGAACCTTACCACTATATCCATACACCATACTGGAAATAATGGTTAGACCAAGAGCAGATCCTTAGAAGAAAATACCTTTTTCTTTGGCAGTCTGAAATCACAAATCCTTTGGATAATTTATATATATGATTTGTATTTCCCCTTTGCACCAAAAATGTAGCACTCAAAGCACATAACAGTAAGGGAAAGACTAAAAAGTAATCAAACAAATGAATTTGCATGATTAAAAACACAATATAAGAAATAGTATTCAGTCAATTAAAAAAACCCTTCCCAAACTAAATTCCATGCCCACATCCCCCTGTAAAGCTGCTCTGGAGGATTGAGGGCCATGTAAAACTGCGTGACAGGTTATGAAGATTACCTTCTCCTTCCTTCAGTGAGGAGCCTCTGCTGAATTCTTGTTACATTTATTTATTTAAAATTTCTTATATACCATCTGATTATTATAAAATCTCAAGACGGTTTACATAAAAGGAGCTCATGAAGGGAAAGGAACCCTTCTGGGAATTGAATAAGCAATCTGGATGAAACCCATTGTTTTTAAAAGGTATTTCAACTGCAGAGCTAACATTTCTTCATAATCCCGCTAAAGCTGGAACAATAGCCAGATATTACTTCTGAGTAACTTCTGGTTTATAAAAATATTACTCTAATGCAGCTTTGTTACTGTCTGAAGTTGTTTGTTACCAGCTTTTACCCATTTTGTAAATATTTTATCAAGTGGTATCAGGTATATTTTCATGCATACTGACCATTTGAAGGATGCAGTCCTCTCTACAGACTATTTTAAAGCTTATCCTTCCCTTTACCCATGCTTGATCTGTTAGTGGACAACACACTTTAAAATATATTGTTATTTATTTTTTACTTTAAGCCATGCTTCATTCTTAAGTCTGCCTTATGATAATTGCTTCCCCACCCCACTATCCCTTATTTCTATGAGAAATAAATCAGCAACCTAACTGTGTTACATGTTGGCCAAGGGCTCCTAAAGTCTGGGAAGAGAGATGACTCATTATACTGCATTGGCACAATGGAAAAACCCCGAAGTCCATCACTTTGGTCTTCTCACATTTAGACAGATGAAGATATACAAACCTCTCTCTTTATCATATTGAGATGGAATTCAAGCTACAATTTGAAAAACTTCAAATATAATAAGATAAAAATAAGATTTTATTTGTTTTTATTAAGTACTAGAAAATACAGATGTAAAAAGGAGATATTTAATTTTAATTGGCCAACTCTGACAGTTGTAGTTTATAGTCAAAATTGATTATGAATGCTCAAACAGAGATGGGGATTAGATCATAAACCTTTATATAAATATCGGACAGATTACTATGGATGCGGAAACATTATTAAAAGTCTTGCTCATGAAAATTCAAGTTTGCTTCATGAGCAGTGACTGGATTATGCGCAAACCTCATGTAGGTAACATCAAAAATACTATCCCCTGAATTCTTGTGTATGTAGCTCATATACACATACACATATATGACAAACTATAATGGCCCCATATTTCAGGTTGGGCTTAAAAGTGGCCCCAGGTCTGAAAACCTCTGAGACTAGTTTGCTTTAAGGGTGAATTTCCCACTTATCAATTGAGTAATTCACATAATTCAAATTATGCTGCACTAGCAGATGATAAAAAGGGCAAAACAATGGGCTTACCAAGAGTGCCAATAGCAAAAATTAGTTTAATAAATCATAGAAATTATTCAAAGTATAAAGTCAACATATCACTGTAGAAAAAGTCAAGTTTCCCTTACTTCTATCCAGGTCCCACACTTTTATTAAATGAATCCATCTTTTCATTAAAGATATGCAACAGTATTTGGGTTGAACATTCCTAAACACTAGACTTAGAAATAGATGCTTATTTAACATAAATCCTGCTGATTAACTTGCAACTAGCATATTATATTTGAAAAAAAAAAATCTAGCCACAATCTTCTTGCTATCAGATTCATTATTTAAAGGTTACATGTGCAACAATATCATGCAAACCACCCTACTGCTCATGACTAAGTGCAGTATGTTTTTTCATGACTTTGTTGTTCCTCTCCATTTCTCCATTTTACTGTCCAAAAACACAGGCCAATGCACAGCCAAGCCACAAGACTCTAAGCACCCCAACCTAGTTAGGTCTTCACATTATTAATTTTCTTCTTTTAAGTATATTCTAAGTAAGTATTCCTTAGGGAATGAGGCCATTCCACAGATTAATATTACAATTGCTAGCCACATTTAATATTAGATAAGAAATTATTCTGTTCCAACTCAAGTTGAAGTCACTTTAATTTTTAACCTTAAGCCTGCGGATGAAAATTTTGTTCCTGCTTCTATTGACCTGGTTCACATGACAGAAAAGTTAATTAACTATGCTGGCTTGTGAACTACCTGGTCATATGCCAGCCCGATTTACATAATAACCAATTCCCTGTGTGGCTACTGTGACATCCAAAAATGGTGAGACTCGGTAATTAACAAACCACCAGAACTCACAGTCTGTTCTAGGGTTGCTAGGTAGCTTGTCACCTTCATGAAGTTCAGATGTCACAATAACACATACCAGCTGGAAGTAATAATGTAAATCACACAACCAGCATGCAGATTGTGTATAAGAAGCAACCTTCAAGTTGTGTGACCAGCCAAATTGATCTATATATTAAATTTAACTGCAACATGTTATGCTCAACATTTCAGAACTAATTCCACATGGAGGAACTTTATTAGCATATTTATAGTCTGCTTAGGGGAAGACTGTTCTCCTAAATTAAATTTGATATCCACACTTTACTGCTAATGATTAGCAGTTGCACTGTTTATTTCGCAATTGCTAATTGGAAAGCTTCTCTGCAAATCTGTTGTTATCTGTCCTGAAACTTGTTGAAGGCTGGTATGTTCATCCCTTAAATAAAATTGTATTAAAAAGAGTGAGTGGGTGCAATAGCAGAGTGAATCAGCTGTAGCTCCACTACCATCAGTAACATGATGCAAGTATGCTAAAGAGGGCTGGAGCTTTTTACTGATCCACCAGGCTCCAAACCACAGGACATAATCCAGATCAAGCTCCATAGCAAAGCCTTACCCTGTTGCTTATGATGTCATCTGATTGCATCTGGATGCATATTGCCACTTATGCCACTAAGGCCACTATCAGATGCATGTATAAATAGAAAAAGAGTTTATCTTATCTGAGGAATCCTGTAAGTTGTGGGAGTTTTTTCTGTCTAAACATGCATGGGATTGTGCCCACAAAGGAAGAAAAAGATGAATACAGGTCAAGTATGCAGGTCTATATTAACACAGGCCAGGATCCATGAACTATCTTAAGTTGTATTAAAAATATTTTCAGTGTTATTACATTTGAATCCTGCACTTCCTACTCTTGAAATAAACTTATGGCATATTACATAACTGTCCTCTTCTTTCTCATAACAACCAGGTTAGACTGAGTCAGTGGCTGACCTATAGTTACCCAGTAAACTTCCTCAGTGAGTGAGGTTTAGCACTCAGATCTCCCAAATTTCTACCTAACATTCTAACCACCAAACCGCAATGGCTCTTGGCTATCCTATAGTCATTCTTTATTTAACCTCAATTTTGTATATCTTATATTCCTTATGTACATTATTTTGTTTGTACCTTTAGCTCTATAGCATATGAATCACACTTCTTTCTGGTGGGGCCTAGCCAATTCTTCCAGTTTCCCAGCCCAATTTTCTTCTGCTTCTAAGGAAGGCTCACTAA